GATAATCTTTATAAGGAATATTGCTTCTCACACTTTAGCATATTTAAATTTAATGTGTGCTGGTTTTGAGTTCTGCTCATTATAGTTTATAAACTATGCTTACTTTGGCTATATGCAATCTAAAAATGAGTTGACATCATGCTTTTAATTACAGCAAATTAAGTTGTTTCATAATTTCCACAGTATGATGCCTGTAATATTAATCAGACCAAATCATCACATTACATAAAGTTAATCATTAAAATGATGATCATTATTGCATGCTATAGCACTCTATTTTTATTTCACTCAACATCAACTACATATCTTCCATGAATATGAAGGTAAAAATCAAAGCTAAGAAGAAATTTTTTTCTTTCTTTACTTGGATTCTTTTGAACCTTAAAAATGAAACATTAAAGATGATTACCTCTTTATCCCCCCTACAAGAGAGGTTTGTGTGTTTGCTTAATATACAAGTAGTCCCTTATGAGAACAGGTGCCATTAGGCAAATAAATATTTGTGCCAGTGACAGAAGTGTTCATATGCGAAATTATTAGTGATCATAACAAACATTAGATATTAAAAGCATCAATACTGATTTCCAAGAGCTAATTACCATGATAGACTGATCAATTTAATAATAAAATATTAAGATCCCCTGCTTGAGGTTAGACCACTGGTCAGTGTAGTTCATTTTCTCTTGACAGCGTAATAGACATGTCAGGAGGAATGCTATTTGCCTTTTGATTTCAACCTTAAATGGTCAGGTCGCACATCTTCTGCATGTCCAGTGTTACAACAGAAAGGATGTGTACTAGCCATTCAATCCATTTACTGCTGGTAGGTGACCTTTGGTTAAATTGAATGTCTACCAGGTTTTCATATCAGTCACTCATCTTGGTAAACAAAATGTTTTTTCAAGATCTACTGTGTACTAGTCAGTCTTTTTGTAGACACAAACAGTGCTGAAATTCACTTAATTTCCTTCCCTTGGTATATTGACTGGGGTACATTCTGATTTATCAGTCATCAATCTGAATATTTATTTGCTTGTACTTACCAGTTGTTACATATTTAATTACCGCTAGTGGACCTTGGGGATAGAAAGCTTAAATAAGATTTTTTTTAATATTCTGTGAAAGTGTTCACAATTTAACAAATTGATATAAATTTAGTTTTCTACCTTTATATCTGTGTTCTATGTCTCTATTATCCACATTTTGAAGTAGTACTTCTCTGTTCTATATTTTGCCTTCCTCTGCATTCAAGGATTCTCTGAAATCATTTACAATATTGAGTACATATTTTTTTACTTGGTTCCTGTTTTTCATGATTTTAGAGGATTGCTAAACTTAGACTGAGAAGCTTGAGTCTCCTTTTCCTTCTGAGGGCAGCCTTTATCCATCCAAACCCTTGACCTTTAATTTGCCTGTGACTAGATCCTTTCTTGTCCAATTAGCCTTGCTTTGACATTTAACAACAAGAACTATAAAGTCTCATTTTTCAAATATACTACAATTGCTATCTTTGGACATAATGAATATTGCACAGGGCTTTTAGCTGAATATTATATCTCTTAATATATCTTTGGTTTCACTGAGCCTCAATTTATGTTCTGTAGAAGGAAATAATGCTTCTTTTCACATAGGGTTGTGTGTGAGGCTAGCAAGCAGCAGAGTGCTGGAGGTTGGCTGCTTGTTCTCCAAATCATGTGACCCATGTGTAATTGATAACATGTATTTGTGTTATTTTCCCTACAGAAGATAAGAGATTTGAAATTAAATGCATACAAAAAAAAACTAACATAATGGTGTCATAACATGACTTTCTGTGAAGATTAAAATATTTATAGGTAAAGCGCTTGAAAGAATACATGCTATATAAGTATGCATTATATTATTTTTGTGTTGTTAGACAGATTTTCTTTAGCAAAAGTAAATTTATTGGTTGTCCGCAAATAACTCAAGGGACATTTCATTTGACATATGATTTTTCTCACCTTGTATTTTCATTTATCTATTTCTCCTTTTCCCATCATAAATCTTATCATCTTAGTTCCTCTTTTCCCAGTGTGATTTCAAAATTAACTTTCCTTTAAATGTTTATTCCCTCTCTTATGTAAAATGAAAGTAGCAAGTAGTGTGATTTATTTCTGTTACCCAACAATCTACTCTTAAATGATACAGAGAGTGCAGAGAATGCTCTAAAGTTTCAAAACAGAAAATTAGAATAATCTCTGGAGTCCAGTGTTCATCCTTCCCAACTTCTGTGTATTGTCAGATAGTTAAACACTATTTGAGTACAAGTTATCAGCCCTGGTGTATATGAACATTTATTCCATTAGTAATGGATATATTATAGTTTCATCATATCATGACTCTACATATTTTAGGTCCTCAAAACTCAAAACCATGTATAAGAATATTACTAACACATATTCAGCATTAAATCATTGGTGATCTATATCTTAAATTTTTAAAGTATTAATGTGTTTACAGTGTCTGACTTTTATGTCTAAATTTAATGCCAAATTTGCTCCAAAATATGATTTTATCTACATAGAATAAATACACTGTCTTGCTATTAATAAAGAAGAAAAGTAGAATGGGATAAAATAGATCCTAAATTAGTCTGAACATGATCTCAATATGTGAAGCAGAGTTCAGATTTTATTTCTGCACTTCATAGAAAACAGTAGTATTATAAATAGGCATCATATATTGATTTATTCAAACCATAAACATTTGCCATTGTTATTCAATCAAGTGTGGCATTATCATTAAAATTTAGCATCACTTGACATTTTTGAAATACAATAAACTAGTTTATATTGATGAGTTATAAGGTACTATATTATATAAATGTGACAGAAGTGATTCAAAAAACATCTTACATGCTGGAGCCACATTTATTTTGTAATTTAAATTATTAAAAGAATAGTTTGCCTTCCTGAAATCATACTTTTTTTGTTTTATAGAAAATTAAAGAGGAATCTCAGGTTTGTTTTTAGTATTTCCTTTTTCTTTAACCTTTCTTATCACACCACTTTCACATTAGGATTCTGTTACCGGTGCTGAGGCATATTGAATAACTTGAAGAATTACCGTGGGAAAAAGATGAATTCAGGGAATTGTAAACTACAAATAAACCACATTTGATTGTAACTTCTTTAAGTTCTGCTTTAAATGCTTAACATTTATGAACTGCCTTAATAATACCAAATAACAATTAGGTATCATTAACCCCATTTTACACATAAGGACCATGAAACCCAAAGAAATATAATGACAACACTATGTAAATAGTAGGAGTGTTTGAAACTTGATTCAATTCAATTTGGACCTCTGATTTTCTCCCTCTAATCAGTAAGTAGCTTTTTATCTACTGTTTTCTATACTTCCACCCATAATATTCCACATTATCTATATTTTTATATTGAAAGGGGAAATACTGTATAATATTAGCTTCAGTGTTTTAACTTTTAAGCCTTAAAACCAATATTTGAGGGCCTCCCCAGTGGCGCAGCAGTTGAGCGCTGGGTTGCGAAGCTGCCTGCAGCCTCTGCAGCACTGGTTCGATCCCTGGCTGCTTCTGGCCACCAGAGGAGGGTCCCACAGAGTGCGCAGACCTCTCCTGCCGCCCGCTGCTCCCCTCAGCAGTGTACTTCAGTCCTTCTGCCTGCTCTGCTCCCCGCTCTGGCTCTGGTGAATTCTCTCACCCTCCCGCGCTTCTGACTATACCCAGTGCTTCTATAAATAAATTGATTAATTAATTAAAAAAAGAAAATGCACAGTAAAGGTTGCTAAATGCAGAGTGAGTTACAGTGTAATAAGATAGGATATTTCATCAAGTGTCATCTCTGGACAAGCATAGTGTCACCAAGGAACCTGCCGTCCATGCAAATATTGAGGTGTCACTCATTCCTACAGAATGAGAATATTTTGGGGTAGCCCATGCAGTCTGTTTTAACCAGCCCTCTAAGCAATTGTTTTGCAAACCAAAAATACCCCAAGTTATAGGTAGAGTGCTAAATGGTCAAGCCATGACTTGATTATAACATTAAACAAGTTACTTTATGTCTCTGTTTTTCCATCTTGATGCAACACAGAAAACTCATGGTAAAAGCTTAACACAGAAAGTTCTCAACCTGTCTTGGAAGGGGTTCTAGTGACAATTTACTAGGGAAATAACGAGCTACTTCCACTACTTCAGTAGGTTATTTTTCATTTTTTTGAAAAATATTACTCAACGTACTATTTAGAATTACACTGACAAAATCCCAAAGCCCCCCCACTAAGCAGAAAGTGAAAAAACAAGCAAATCAAAAAATACTAACATTCTCTTGATAGATTCCCACAGAAAAAAATTAGTGTGACTCATTTTATGGCAGAATGAATTATGAAAGTGATGTGGAGGCACCGGGGATTTGTCAGAGGAGCATTTTTACTTCTCTAAAATTTTCATTTGTATGATTTGCTTCCATGCTTTTAGAAAAGTAAGAATACATGTTATTTCTTCATTCCACCAAGTTTTTTTAGTCTTCTTTTCTCCTGCTTACCTTTCTAGTCATGTACTTGCATTTGTCGGTTTACCCACTTTATTGACTATTTTTCCATCTTAGTTATATGCAGCCTAGTAATAATGATCAGAAGTATTTATTTTCCATGTGACGTGATTCAAAATAAGACTTAATCTATAGAAATGAAAGTATAAGGATGCCAGGCTACTACAGTCAGTAACTTCATTTGTCACTAACTGTAGAGCATGTAATACCTAAATTTGAGGAATGTCTTGTGATACCATGATCTGTAATCAGATGACAACTCTAACTCAAAACTCCCGAGACAGTGATGTGCAACATGCAAATAGTTAATAACGGAATCTCTGGTTTGGTAAAATAAAAAGCTTCATGTTGATTTAAGCATCATAAACTTTGGCAAGTGTAATTGAATAAAAACCAAATGTTCAGTGGAGAAGAAACACTTTCAAGTTTTTTCTGGTTTCTGTTTTGTTTTAGATGGAGCTGGCTAAGGAAGAAAAGTGTGAATTTTTGCCTTTCCTGTCCCCACGGAAGGTTATAGTAAAAGGTGGGAGAATTGTTGCTATGCAATTTGTTCGGACAGAGCAAGATGAAACTGGAAAATGGAACGAGGATGAAGATCAGATAGTCCGTCTGAAGGCCGATGTGGTCATCAGTGCCTTCGGCTCAGTTCTGAGTGATCCTGAAGGTAGGGTGCTCAGCGTCGAAATGTATTATGCAATATCTGTTATTTTAGTACTGTGATAGTTTCCAGCTTCCAGGGCATTGTTCTTTACTTTAACATTCATTTCTATCTTCTAATAAGGAATGCAAGCAATCTTGATTTAAAAGGCTTAGAAATGATATTTAACACACAGAATTATTTTCAAATGGGGGAAATTGAACAGAACATAAATCTTTTAAACTATGTAATCAAAGTACATATCCTATTTTGTAATATTTCTGTTGTTTCCTTTATGAAAATGGCTTTTTCTTTGGACCCGGAGTGAAAATACGGGACAGAAAAGATGAAACAGCTAGTCTTCAATGATTCAGACAGGATCCAATATATAGGCAAAAATAGAATCTGTGTTTACAGTTATCCTTTTGCAAAACTATCACAGGAAACATCAAAATTATCAAGTTAGTTTGAACTCTGTCATTTCATCTAGATGGCACACATGATCATGCTAAGGAATTACAAAATGCCTAAAAAAAAAAAGAGAACGAGAAAAGGAGATATTTTACATATCCTAACTGAGTAAGTCCATCAATTAAGCTATATGGTGTGATATGTTCCCCACATGTAGTGTTTTTATGGGGCATTGTAGATAAAATCTTAAGTACTAATGAATTTTCATTTCCCAGAACCTTTACATTTTAACATGATTGAAATGATGATTAACTCCTTTATTTACTGAGAGGAAAATGAGGACATTTCTCTAAGTCAGAGATTATTAAGAACGACAATAACAGAAAAATCTAAACATGACAAGTCCTATGACTTTCTGCTATATCCATGCTAAAATTACATTTTGTGTCTGAAATAGGAAGGGATGTATGCATGTAAATGTGCACTTTTATGCAACAGATAAGTAAAAAATTCAACCAGTCATCAGAACATTTTATCTGCAGGACATCAAACATCTTGGTATTTGGAAACATCCAGATGTTTAATGTCATCATGATAAATGTTTTCAAATAGCTGGATGATGGCCTGAATTTGTCACTTTTCATCTCGATGTTTATGTGATATGTAGACACGGTCTCTATGTGGTTTGTTTATTCATTAACCGGGTGCAAGAAGGGGAAAAAAAAGAACAATGTGAAAATTGCATTCTATTATCTAAAAATTCATACTGCTCTTACAGCTCTACACATCACCAAATACCAAAACTTGAATCATATTTAACTAGCATTTCTGTTGATTATTTGCCTATCAAAAAATAATTTAGGTTACCCATCTAAATTTCTGTTCCACAACTGACAACTCTAATATTAAGAAAAGTGTATCTTTTCCTAAGCAAATCTAAGTAGATGTGACTCAAAAAATCTTAGAAAACAGCTACTGGATTTTCAAATGTGATTTTGCAAAGCTTAAGCCAGTGTGTGTGTATGTGTGTGCATGTGTGCATGTGTGTGCACTTGAGTGTGCACATACATTTGAGAAGTGAAAGATTTAATTTAGAATTTAAAATGTGAAGTAGAAGAAAAAAATGATATATTTATGTTTATTTGACATCATTTATTTCAGAATTTGCGTATTTTATTACAGAACTTACTTGAGTTTTTGTTTTGTTTTGTTTTAAGAGAGTTTGCTATTCTTTTTTTCTTAAGATTTATTTTTATTTATACAAGAACTGGGGTACAGGCCAGAGGCACAGGAGGGTGAGAGGATTCACCAGAGACAGAGTGAGAAGCTAACTAAGCACATGGACCTACAACACTGCTGAGGGTAGCAGCAGGCGAGGTAGGAGAGGTCTGCCATGCCATGTGGGTATCTCCCTGGCTACTCAGAAATTGAAACCATGCTGCAGAGGCTGTGGACAGCTTCACAGCACTACACTCAACCTGTTCCTCCAGAACTTACTTGTATATGTTTCTCGTGGTGTTTTACATGTACTACCTCATAATACCTTGAGAGAAGTTAAGGAAAAATGGTCTTTCGGTCTGCTATCATCCCCCATCCTGAACTGAAACAACAAACTGCCTGGGGAAATTTTCCTTAAATAACATTATCTCCAATTTAACCAGGCCCTTTAATTTTACATTAACAAGAAACTGTTTTCCAAGTGAGAAGGGAACTGGAAGAGCTGGAACATTAAATAGCTTTCATGCCTCTGCTCCTATCCATACATTTCCAGTGCTGTTTTTTGAATTTAAAATATTAAAGGATAAGGAAGAGGGAATTTGTATTTGTTAGAAGTTGATCAAGAAGACTTTATTCAAATGGCACTTAACATCGTAAAATACTAATTTTAAAGCCACTAAACTTTCATTTACATACATGTTTATGATGTGGTAAAGATCAGTTTACAGGAAACAGATTGTCCATTTGGTAAGACGAAAAGCTATTCATGTTCTCTCTTTTGTATCATAAATAGATCATCCTGATACCTGTGTGATATGATTTCTTATGATATCTGTGTGATAATCACATTTATAACTCTATATCATTTAATATCTGTGACCTCTCTTAAAATATCAGCCTGTATTTTCACCCCTCTTTGCTCCTTCCTAACCTGACTTTGCACAGTCCCTAGTGAATTGTGTACCAAACTCAAGTGACATCTTTTCAGTCCTTATTCTATTTTCTGCATTTGACAATGTTAAATATTTCTTTCTGTTTGAAATGCTCTATTTCAAGTCACTTAACCTTTTTGAGCTTCAGTTTCTTTCTCTATAAAAAACAGGAATTATAATACTTCTCTCCCTATCTCTAGGACTATTCTCAGAATTTAAATGAAATAATGTGAAAGTGCATTGGAAATGAAACAGTAACATATTACTATTATTTATGACACCATATTTTAAGTATTCTTTTTACAGGTTGGTCACTGACTGCTTTTCTTTCTTTTATTATTACTCTTTAGTACTTTCAAAGTTCAGACTTTGCCTATTTTCTCTGCTTCATCCTTTTATTCTCTCACTGAACTGATTGTCTCATTTATTCATTTATTTATACATGCATTTGTTCTTCTAATAAATAGTGAATTCTGAGTCCCAGGTTGTGGCTAGATGCAGTATTTCCCTTCTGTGTAGAATGGCTCTGAAATCTCTTTCTCCACTGACTTTGTACAGAAGACATTTCATCTTGTGTTTACCGTCATGCATGTGACAGATAGGTGTGAGTATCCAGTGAATGCCAGGTAACATGTGTACAGTATGTAGAAGAATGAGGCATTCATTGTACTTAAAAAATTTTTCCACACTGGGATTAGGGGCAACTCTATCAACAAATCATTGTTTCACCAAGTGAAGAATACATTCAGAGTGCTATTCACAAAATATGATGATTACCTCATTAGATTTGCTTAAGTCTAATCTCCTCTCAGCTTTACTATTTTTGTAAATGGTGCAGTAGCTCTCTTATCACTAAAGGTTGAAATTTTATCCCAGATTCCAACTTCTGATTCCATTTTTTGGTCATTAAATTCACCATGTTACCCTATACTAAAGGATAAAGCTCCTCATCTCCTTGGCACTTGAGAATTTAAGCAAAAAACTTTATATCTACTATGTATCTAGCTTTGTTTTCTGATTCCACTGTTGAATTATTCTTCCCAGTTTATAGCATGGGATGGATTCCATATTGCTAATTAGGAAGGGTGTTGATGAGTACAATCCACATATATTCGCTGAAGAATTCAAACAATGAAAGAAAGTGGACACAGTATATATAAAGTAGTGATAATTTATATTCTCACAATTCTCATATTACAGTCATATTTTATTTTATTTTTTCAAAGACTTATTTATTTATGCATATAAGAACTGAGGTACAGGCCAGAGGTGTTGGGGGGGTGAGAGGATTCACCAGAGACAGACTGGGGAACAGAACAGGCAGATTGTCTGAAATACAATGCTGAGGGGAGCAGCGGGCTGGTCAGGAGATGTCAGCTGCACCATGTGTGTAGCTCCCGGGCCGGGTGTTGAATTCGTGCTTCAGTAGCTGTGGATCACTTCATAGGTTCTGTCTTAACCCCTTGTACCACCAGGGAGGCCCTATAGTCACATTTTATTTATTTATTTATTTATTTATTTATTTATTTATTTATTTATTTATTGCTCAATATTTTTATTTCAATGAAAAATGTGTCCTCCCCCACCATTGGGGCTTCAAATTAATTGCTTTTTATTGCTGATCTTTTTTTTAATAAATTTTATTTTTATATTCCCCATACAATTGCAACCCCCTTATTTTGACCCCAATCCCTCCCCTCCCCGCCCCCCACCCCCCATAAAGTGTCTCTGGTTCATAGTTTTTTGTTGATTTTGATTTTCACTTTCTTATAGTTATTCATTTTCCTGGTCCCTTATTTAAGTTTTCTAGATTCCTGCTGAGTGAGACTACCTATAGTCATATTTTAAATGAAATTACTTGTAGCCACTTGATTGTATCATTTTTGTATTTGTAAAGATAACCTATATTGGAAAATTTAAAGGAAGCTTAAAATTTCAATCTCATTTTTTTCCCTCTGATATATGCTTTTTTAAATTAATTAATTAATTAGTTATACAAGCACTGGGTACAGTCAGAAGCACAAGAGGGTGAGAGAATTCACCAGAGCCAGAGCAGGGAGCAGAACAGGCAAACTGATGAAGTACACTGCTGAAGGGAGCAGCGGGCATGTCAGGAGAGGTCTGTGTGCCATGTGGGACCCTCGCCAGCAGAAGGGATCGAAACGGCGCCGCAGAGGCTGCGGGCATCTTCGCAGCCCAGCACTCAACCGCTGCACCACCGGGGAGGCCCTATGCTGGATTACTTTTGCAAGTCCCTTAATGTGTATTTATCAAAGGAGGATATCAGTTAACCTTACTAGTAGTATTAAGTACCTGATACATCTGTAATAAATATTTCTTTAATATAAATAGCCAAAAAAAAAAAACCATACACAAGCAAAATACAGCAAGAATAAATCTAGAACTCAGTGAAAGAATTTAATGGTTAATAGAGGGGGTAGTTGGGGGGAGGGGGGAGTGAATGAG